GGGGGGGGGGGGGGGGGGGGGGGGCAGCCTTTTGTTGTCGAACACTTTCAAGTGGAATGATTAACGGCAAGATTAGAAGCTAAATACTGGGTAGTAGCGTACTCTTTGCTTTCTCATCAGTTTCTTTAAAGACCATAAACAACATGAATAAAAGCTTAGTGAGGGAGCTTGTTCTTGTTGCATTATCATTTAATAGCATTTATTCCTATTTTCTACGCACCTCTCTCCAGCCCAGAGTTACCTCTTTTTTTAACATTGCATCACATTTGAGCTATTAAAGCTCACCTCCAAAAATTCACCTATTAAAAATCCATGTATTTCCCCTGAAATGGTCTTTAGGGTGCTGGTGGGCCCTTATCACGAGTCGGGAATTTAAAACGCAGGCTTCTGCCAGTGAATCAGAAATAAGCTTGGCAATTCAGTCAACACAGCCTGGCACAGCATGAAGGAAGACACCCCATAATGAGTTCTCAGAGGCGGAGCCCCTACCTACAGCAGAGTCTAATATTCCTCCTGTGGATTTGTTGACACTCCTCAAAGCAACTTAAATCGAAGGGCCGTGATTTATGCAAGACTGTCAGGTCAGATTGACTCAGCCTCCGCTCTCGTGTCATTAGAAAGTACAGCACTTCAGTGAGTCATGCCCGCCACTGTGGTTCAGCTTTGACAGAGAAGAGAGAAGGATAATGCAGCACAAGTGACACTTCCAACTGTCTGTAGAACATCACATGGCCTTAGCAGTGCGCTGGGTTATTCTAGGGAAGAAAGAGACTCCATCAGGATAGCCTAGAGGGAGCTGTTTCAAATTGGATATACTAAACCATTGCAAGGCGGGTGGTGTCGGAGTCCTAGATGTGTCTGCTGACTGTCGTGAGAGTAGCATGGAAATGAAGAGCCATATATATGTAGTAGATTTCTTAAGGGCTGTGCCATGAATACTGTAGTTGAAAATTTGACACAACCTTTGGGATCCTTAGACGTTATTTGCTGTCTGCATGTGAATGGCAAGTATAAAGTATTAACCCATTAATGAATAATGACTATATTTAGTATGCTAAGGAATAGCCCCACAGAATCTTTTCTGTTAGAGGTAGAAACATAAAATATGCTGTGGAAACATGACAAATTAAAATGTTTTGGTCACGCCTTAATTAATCATTGAAATGTTAAATATTAAAAATCAAAGCAAATATTATTGAAATTGAAGCTGTTTGAATCTAATGGTATCAAGAATGTGATATAACTCCAAATATAGCCCTTTCTGTAACATACTAGTTGTTAGGGTTAGGTTGTTACTCATTTTATCCCATAGGAATACATTATAAAATTCCTAACCTATTCTTACTAGCGACAAACAGAAAAACTTTAGTTTCAAACTTTGTCTGATTTGAAAAATTTAGATGGACTTGTGCTTAGCTCAGCTAGTATTTAAATGCTGTAAAGGAAAATGAAAATACAATTTCACTATGGAAATTAATGAGTAGAACTCTTGCTGGTCATAATGTCTGTTTTCATATTTAAAGGCCCAGTGTGTAACATTTAGTCTGATCCATTGGCAGAAATTGAATATTATATTCATAGGTATGTTTTCATTAGTGTATAATAACCTAAATATAGGAATTGTTTAGTTTTTGTTACCTTAGAATGAGCTGTTTACAGATAAAACAATCGCCTTCCATGGAGTTCGCCATTTTTAAACCATCATGTTTCTACAGTAGCCCAGAACGGACAAACCAAACACTGGCTGCAGATAGAGCCTTTTATGTGTTTTCCAAGTTGTGCGGCCACTGTAGTTTCTCTTGCACGCTTCAAAGCCTGTTCTCATTCCTAGGTCGTCAAATATAGACATGAGCGGTGTTCAGTTAGCTGCACCACTAAATCCTACACACTCGTCCCTTAAAAAAAGGAACTTAGCTTGCAGCGTTTTGCTATTAGAAATTGATGTAATGCCAGAAAACAGACCGGCTAACAACAGACAAATGCAGGCATGTGCACAAATGAAATGGAACCTTGTTTGCCTGGGTTTATCGAGGGGACAGAAAGGCAGAGGGCCTGGTTAACCATAATTGGAACGTTGTTAAAATAAGTGGTTGTGCTGCAGTAGCTGTTTATGCAGATCCATGCCTTCGAGCATGAGCACTTTGTCACAGGCAGTAGCTCTCAAATTATGATAGATGTGGCACAGACACTGTTGTTAAATTAAAGCATGAAATTTAGCATTACTCTTAATGAGCT